CACAGGGACACAGGGAGGGGAGCATCACACACTGGGGTCTGTTGGGGGAGCCAAGGGAGGGAGAGTGGGGGGATGGGGAGGTCAGGGAGGGATAACATGGGGAGAAATGCCAGATGTAGGTGACAAGGGGATGGAGGCAGCAAACCACATTGCCATGTGTGTATCTGTGTAACAATCCTGCATGATCTGCCCATGTACCCCAGAACCTAAAGTACAATAAAGAAAAAAAGAAAAAAGTAAGTTTAAAAAGACATTTGGGAGGCTCGTTTGCCACACATACCCATAATATATGACTTTTAATTTATAATTGCATACATTAGCATACCAATATGCTATGTATATTATAAAGCATGCACAAAAATATTGATAAAACAATGTAATCTGATACCTACTGTATATACCCAGTGTGCCTAAATACAAGACAACCTTGAACATGAGGGGATCTACATTTTTCTAATGATAACATCCAAAAGCTTGGCAAATTCAAATACATTTATACATTTTTAAATATAAATTCATGCCTACTTGTCACAGTTTTTATATGTATACTTTAAAAATATTTCAGATATGTCAGCTTGGAAATATTAAATATTCTGTTGTAAGATTTTATTACATGGTTTTATCTAAACTCATTTGCATCGTCAATATCAGTAACATCACTACAGCCACTTTATTTGCAGGGCGGGGGACAGAGATTCTGTTGCCCAGGCTGGAGTGCAGTGGTATGATCTCTGCTCACTGCAACCTCTGCCTCCCTGGTTTAAATGATTCTCCTGCTTCAGTCTCCCTAGTAGCTGGAATTACAGGCGCCTGCCACCATGCCCAGCTTATGTTTGCATTTTTAGTAGAGACAGGGTTTTGCCATGTTGGCCAGGCTGGTCTTAAACTCCTGACCTCAGGTGATCTACCTACCTCGGCCTCCCAAAGTGCTGGGATTACAGGTGTGAGCCACTGCACCCAGCCTACAGCCAATTTTTGCAGTAACTATTGACATCACCTTCACTTCTAAGTGGTTTGAGATACAGTACTACTTGAACTGTTAAATGATGCAGCCACTGGAAACTGTATCCCCCAGATATTCTTTGTCATAACATCAGGATTTTTTTTTCTTCATGCAGTAGTATATTTATGATCTTCACAGCATAACTACTTAATATACTTTTAATGTAAACTTTATTGAAGTATGACGCATATAAAAAGGTGTATAAATCTTAAGTGTATGGCCTGATGAATTTTCGATGAACACACTCATGTACCAAGCACCTAGGTGAAGAAGGATAGCATCACCAGTACTCTCCCCTGCCATGCTCCAATCACCTCTCCCTCAGAATGCCCCCCACCAACCCCCTCCATTGCCTTGCTCTGTGTAACACCTCCTGACTTCAATACTATGCATGAATGTTGCCTGGTCTAGAACCTTATATAAAATGGTACCAAGTTGTTTATATAGTACGTAATTTGGTGTCAGGATTCTTTCACTCCAGATTATGATTGAGATCCCATCTATGTTGCTGCATCTAGTTATAGTGTGTTTATTTTTATTAATGTAGAATATTTCGTTGTATTCTAATACTCCAATTTTGCTAATTCTGTTATAGATGGACATTCAGGTTATTTCTAGATTTGGGCTATTATAAATGGCGCTGCTGTAAACATCCTCATATAGCCATTCTGTTCCTGTTAAATACAGAAGCATGCATTTAAAGGCTATATGAGCTAAGGTCTGAGGCCTCACCAGACCTCAGCAGTTTGCTAAGGTTTAACCAGACCTTAGTGGACCCTCCCAGTTTGCACCTTATTAGCAATATAATACAGGTCACCACATATCCTTGCCAACACGTGGGATTTTCCATTGTCTGAATTTTAGTCATTCAGGTGGGTGTGTAGTTTCATTTCATTGTAGTTTTTATTCATATTTCCCCAGTCTTATTAAGTTAAGCACATTTTCATGCATTCATTAGCCATATTTATCCTGTTAAGTACAAATTTTTTTGGCCAAATTTTATGTTTTTAAGAATTTGTGAGAGTTAATGTATTTTAGATACAAATTATTTGTCAGATGTATGTATTGCAAGCATCTCCATCTACTTTGTGGCTTGTCCTTTTAATGGTGGTGGCTTTACAGTATTGTTTCTTCACAAACATCATCTTCTCAAGGGTTTTACATTGAACATAACCCAGGAAGTGTCAGATTCATTTACCTTCTTTTATATCTGATTGTCAAGTGACTTTTAGAAACACCCTAAGCAAGAATTGGGAGTTAATTCGTAGGTTATTTGTTGTTAACTATAAGGTCATTGAGATGGATCTTTACAATATGAGAGATATTGAGATTACATTCTTTCTAGTTGGGGAAACTCATGTTACATTTAGGCATTGATAAGGACTCAGCCCTCCCCAGGCCAGCATTTGCAACAAAAAATAGCAAGCTCAAGTTAATTGGGTTCTTCTATATCCTCAAGTCATTTCTGTGTCTTGACTGAAGGTTTTGTCTATCACCATTAGCTATTCATCAGCAATTAATGAATCTCTAAATGTTTTGCATTTACTGTGCAAAAAAGCAAAGAAACTATTTTCTTAAAATGATACACTACCTTATCTAAGTTACGGTCCCATTATTCAAATACTAATCTAAGTTTTGTTATGAAGGAATTTTGCAGATAAAATTAAAGTCCCTAACCAACTGACTTTAAATAGGAAGAAACAATCAGTTGCACCCCACTTAATGATAAGGCCTTAAAAGCAAGACTGAGGCCTCACCAGGAGAGCAATTCCTCCTGTGGACAACAGCTTGAGCCCATACCCAGAGTCCATCTGCTTGTGACTGTCTCTTCCTGCCTGCTGCTCTTTGGATTTTGGACTTGCTTAGCCAGCTGTCATAATCATATATGCCAATTCCTTGGCTTTTTTTTTTTAGACTTAATATAAGTATCTCCTACTAGTTTTGCTTCTCTGGTTTAAACCTCAACCTCAATGATCTCAGGGACAATACAATTGTTTTTCTTCACAAATATTTACCAGCATGTAAAACGTTCATGAATGATCCTGTTAGGAAGACACAGGACTGTTCAGACAACAATCATTTTGTGTATAGCTCACTCTAGGGCTCAACCTTGGCTACTGATGTTTAAATAGTACAAATTTTACAACTGTAAGAACCTAATGTCATTTTCTTCAATTACCATAATATGTATTTCTATTGAATGTTTAAAATGTTGTTTTTTTTTTTGAAGTTGCGGGTGGGATTTATAGGTCATAGGTCATTCAAAGATTTTCCTATTGACAATGGTTGAAAGAGTTAAAGACTTGAAGTTAGCAGAAGAAAATGCTTACGGAGGTTTGTGAAAGCCACAGTTCTTGCTATGTAGATGAGTCCTCTAGGTAGCAGGCTGCAGAGAGAATAGATCGCAAATGTTGTTTTTTAGACCTCCTGAGTTTTACTTTTCACTCTGGAAAAGAAGTTCTCTAGGATGACGTCGTGCAGCAGCTCATCACTCATGGCATGCCTGGTGAAAGCTGTGTGCACAATATCATTTTTCCCACATATGAAGAGGGGATGCCTCACTTGTCACAGGCTATTGAAAGTAGTCAGCTTTCATCAGTGGATCCTGACAACACAAAAAGAAATGATTCACCTAAGGAGTTTTACTAATCCTGGGCAATGCAGGCCCCAGGAGGACAGGAACAAAGGTTAAGGCCTTGTTGAAGGTGTTGCTCTTCCAATCTCATCTGGGGGCCCTTATGTTCACTGTTATGTCTCCAGCACAATTTTGAAGTCTTCCTCTCTGGCTGTACCCCTTTCCTGGTTACACCCCCTTTTTCTGGTATACCCCTCTCCTGGTGGGCTCACCAAAAGGTAATATTGGGGTTCAGGGTGCCCTCAGCTCCCCTGAGAGGACATTTCTCCACGTTCTTGTTCTCCTGCCCTCTCAAGAATGAGAGAGGGGACCATGGCACAATGCGCAGTTAATGCCAGACTCAAAAGTGTTTGTACAAAGTGATTTAGAGAAGCAGGAGGAGAGAGAAACAGCTAACTCTCACACTGAGTGAGAGAATCCAGAAAGATGGAATCCAGGAGAGGAAAGCAGCTTCCACACTGAGTGGAAGGGAATAGACAGATGGAGTTTAGGAGAGGAAGACAGGCTTCCACGACAGTGTGGAAGGGGACTCCAGAGGGAAAATCCATGATAGAGAAAGATGGCTTCTACAAAGGGAATGTTTGTGGAAGGGGATCCAAACATGGAGTCCCTTAAAATGTATTTTTTAACAGAAAAAAAATATTTTTAAAGCAGCCAGGCTTTATTGGCTTCTATCATGTTTTACTGGCTTTTATGTTTCAAAAAGTTTGTCTATTAAGTTCTTAAAGAAAAACAATTTGGTATTTACAGAGACATTAGTTTTCTTGGTGAGCTCACCAAGTTAAACCTCTGCTTATGACTAAGGGAAAATATTCATGTTTACGATAACATATGAAACTAGTAAGTTCCTTATTTAGCCATTTCCAGAATGAATCTTATTTAATCCTTGAGAGCCTTAATATACCCTAAAACCAATGTTCATAAATATATTAGGCTCAATATGTAAGAAAAGGTATCACTGGACTGGAATTTAAAAAATCTGTCTTCTAATATCCCACAAATAGCTGTGTAATAATGGGGAATTCATTTAACCTTTCTGAACCTACCTCCTCCTTCTGTAGCTAAGAGTTATTAAATACCCACTAGAAATCAAGCATTTGCTAGACACTAGAGATTCAACAAAGAACATGACAAAGACAGACCATGTCTTCAGAGGCTTCAAGTCTGGAAAGGTGTGGAGTTTGGGCTAAATTACTTTTAAGTCTTCTATTCCAGAGTGACTATTCTATACTTCAAATAGGATTACATTCATAATCTATGACCTGGGATTAATATAAGAATTTCCAAATGACACTGAAAAAGCTATAAAGCATTAAAGATTTTCTATGTGAACATCTGTGAAATAACTTTTAAAATCAGAAGTAGGTTTTATATCTTTATTCAGTTGTGATTCAACTGTAGAATAAAGCCCTTTTAGCATTATAAAAGCCAATGTTTTGAAATGTTTTTTGCTCAGCAATACAGTTGTATTTTACAACTTTTATAATCCTGAAGAGATTCTCTTATTTGGAGTTTTCACGCATTCAGGTATTTGGCATGATGTCTGATGTGATCAGTAATAAAGGTTGCAATGAAGTAGTAGCTATGATCATAGCCCTAGAAGACAGGATAAAGAGATGATAAGACATTTATCTTCCACTCAGAAACATCAATATTAGAAACATTAAATATATCTCTAAGGTCATTTAATTTGCAAATAGTTATAGAATTAAGGAAGTATGAGGAAGGTTTATAATAAAATCAAGGTTGTCGTACTTTAACATTTTCATGGTACATAAAAGGGCAGAGAAAATATGAAGGAAAACTAAACATTCTGCCTAGCTTCTAAACATAGTCTAGCTTCTAAATGCTGCCATTAATATGTAAAGAGAGGAAGTAACACATTAATTAAATATGCAGAGTAGACATTGTCATATCAACCAAGATGAAAAGAATAAGGATTTAGAGAGCTTAGAAACATGGGCATTTCAATTTATAAATGCAGCACATCAATAAGACAGTGACTATTAAAATACAAAATAAGTACAAAAACAATATAGAAAAAGAACACAAAAATGCCCAAATGCACTATCCTTGTTAGGAAGTCAAACACAGCCATCATAAATCATGTTAAGAATTCCTTCTACACAGTAAAAGTATATCATATCTTCATTTGAGGAGAAAAGAATGATTCATTAAACCTTGACATCCCTTAGCAATATATCAAATTAGGTAAAACGTCAGTAAACCATTAAAAAACTACCATGAAACAGAGAAAAATGTGATGTGCTAAGCAGTTGAGTTGAAAGATATTTCTATCTATCCAGTCAATTAAAACCATTGTTGTAGGTAAATGGAGAAATAATCCCTTTCTGGTGACTTTGACACCTCTTCTGAGTACAAGATAAAAAATAGTCTTCCAAAAGAAAGAAAAAAAAAATAAGGTATTAAGGTGGTAAAAAATTTCTTCCTTTTTATTTTCTTCAACTTTTTTTTTTTGAGACGAAGTTTCGCTCTTGTTACCCAGGCTGGAGCGCAATGGCGCGATCTTGGCTCACCGCAACCTCCGCCTCCTGGGTTCAGGCAATTCTCCTGCCTCAGCCTCCTGAGTAGCTGGGATTACAGGCACGTGCCACCATGCCCAGCTAATTTTTTGTATTTTTAGTAGAGACGGGGTTTCATCATGTTAACCAGGATGGTCTCGATCTCTTGACCTCGTGATCCACCTGCCTCGGCCTCCCAAAGTGTTGGGATTACAGGCGTGAGCCACCGCGCCCGGCCCTCTTTTCTTCAACTTTTAAGTTCAGGGGTACATGTGCAGGATATGCTGTTTACATAGGTAAACGTGTGCCATGATGGTGTGCTGCTCAGATCACCCCCATCACCCAGGTATTAAGTCCAGCATCTGTTAGCTATTCTTCCTGATGCTCTCCCTCCCCCATCACCTTTTGACAGGCCCCAGTGTGTGTTGTTACCCCCTATACATCCAGGTTTTTTCATCATTCCGCTCCTGCTTATAAGTGAGAGCAAGTGGTGTTTGGTTTTGTATTCCGGCATTAGTTTGCTGAGGATAATGGCTTCCAATTCCATCCGTGACCCTGCAAAGCATATGATCTCATTCCTTATTATGGCTGTATAGTATTCCATGGTGCATATGTGCCACATTTTCTTTACCCAGTCTATCATTGATGGGCATTTAGGTTGATTCCATGTCTTTGCTATTGTGAACAGTGCTGCAGTGAACATACATGTGCATGTATCTTTATAATAGAATGATTTATATTCCTTTGAATATATACCTAGTAATAGGATTGCTGGGTCAAATGGCATTTCTGCCTCTAGGTCTGAGGAATCACCACATTATCTTCTACAATGGTTGAACTAATTACACTCCAGGTGGGAAGAACTTTCTAAGAACTTTCAAACACCAGATAATTTATCCCTACCCACAAGTAAAATACAAGGTTGAATAAACTAAAAGAAATAAAAGTCTAAGAAAGATTTTTTTTTTTCTTTCAGTTTTGGATTAGTAAATGGTCACTGATGGGAAAAAATGAGAATTTTTCTAAGCACCTAAGAAATAAAAATAGAGCTAATAAAAATATCACTGACGCTTCAGAAAACAAGGCAAAGCCCCAAGGTTTTGATGAATCAGTAAATGTTCTCAATCTTTCCCTTCCAGAGAGGTATTAAATGTTTATCTTGGGAACAGTAGTTAATAAAAAGTTCTGGGTTAAGGTCAAAGTAACATGCCTTTTAAAGCAATTTGTCATCTATTATGGAAGTGAATGTCACAGGAATGTTGTCAAGATTAAAGCTGAGCCTCAAAATTACTTGATGTCATATCTCTCAATGATTAGACTAAGTCCCAGCTGGCTAGTTAAATTTAGAGCTAAATTACAGTTTCCTATATAAAGAAAGAAATGTAAAGAAAAGCATTTTCCATCCATATAATTCTTGAATTGTTAAGGCCACAAAACCTGTAAAATGTACCAAAGTATTTATTATCTGCCATTTTTCACAGATCAAAAGATGGATTTGATAGAAAATGGGTACAGATGCAGGGAAACAGACACCTCAAAAGACTTGTGTGACCAACTCCCAATGTGACTGAGTATGCCACATTTTATCCTTAGTTTCTTGTATGTTAAGAGCCATCAGACACACATGAATAGCCATCATTATTATTAGAGAAGTCTCAAGGTAAACCCAGGAGTATATTGCAAGACAAGATAAGACATCTAAAACCCAAAGCAAATGACCAAAAGTTCCATAATGGTAAAGATTCACCTAGATGAGAAAGAAGAAAATGCCTGCCACGAGGGACCAAGAATTTTTAAAAATATCAACAAAAACACAATAGAACACATTTGAACTATTGGTATCCTGCTGAAGCTACTCAATTCGAGCTAACTGTATCATCCCCAACTAGGGATTCTGTTTATCAATGTTATTAAATGGAGATGGCTTCTTTAATTAAATTCTTTGATGAACGAGTTGGTATGACATGTTAAGCAGGTCACGCAAATGCCTATGTTTAGTGATACCTGAAGGGGGCTTTTCGCCTCTACCTCACACTTTAAATGGAAAATTCTTGGTAGCAAAACTCTGACTCCTGGAGTATAAAAATAAATGAACACGTTTCATTCTTTCATTCTTTTCACTCAAAAGGAAGCAGTGCTCCACAGGCAGTGTTTTCTTGCATATTTTCCAGACCCAATTAGAAAAGCTTGGATATGTTTAAAAAGGAAGACTTTGCATTGTACTCATTTATTTAACAAGTATTGAGAGCCTCTATGCTAGATAACTATGCTAAATAAGCATGGTATATAGAGACGAATAGAGATCTCTACATTTCCAGGATTGTCTGCCCTGTTCTTACTCTTCTCTAAAAGGCAGATCCAGAGGCTGTAATAGCCTCTCAATCTTCAAAAAGGTCCTGAGGCTTAAGGAGGTAGTACGGCCTCTCCTTCTATTCCACAAAAGAGAATACAGTTTCTGGAAACTTCTTGAGTATTAGGTCACTAAGTTTTTTTCCTTACTGTGTAACTCCAGTAAGTAAAGATAAGACATACTAATAAGCCCTTCTTTTTCAGAATAAGATTTGATCTCTGTATGCTAGATATCAGAAGTTTGCTACCTAGTATTTTTTTCAATTTAGATTCCCCGAAGCCAAAATAGAAAAAGAAAAATATATAAATAAGCAAATAAATATCCCCAATGCACGCTAACCCCTCCCTCTAATTTGTTTTTTTTTTTTCACATTCGCCAGAATATAAATTGTGAGCATTTAACACCATTAAAAAGAGGTAAAGGAATGAAGTTGAGTATATCATGTGCATGATTGTAATTATTTTTCTTCCCTCTCAGATTATTTATATATATATATATATATATATATCCCCTATTATTTTCAGCTTATTTTTCACAGCTTTTATCCCACAAAGAAATACAGTTACAACATGCTTATAATCAAATGATTAAGCAGGTGAGATGATAAAGCAGGTGATAGAACTCTCTGACCCAAGGGAATCTTGGGTCAAAGCTGGTAAGAAAATCTGAAGGTAGACTCGGGAGCCACTACTCAGGCATGGTCATTCAGTTGTTGATTCAATTAAAACATATCTAAACGAAATCTGCTTCAAGCTGTGTAGTTCACTCTTAACCTGACCATGCTGGAAGTAAAGTGAATAGAAAGTTGTGCCTGAGCTCAAGATTATAACTCTTGTGCTTTGAATACTTCCTTACTTTATTAGAATAATTGAGTGGTTTGTCTTGACTTCTCATTAAGTATAGCCAACTATGTGTTCTAGTTGCTTGAGATACAGGCATTTTAGAAACAAGTAAGTTGACTTATTTTTTCCTCCAAGAATGTCATCCATGTTCTAACGCTGTTGTTTTTATAACAAACTTGAGAGATTTTCAGACTTTGTTGGCAGGCAGAAACATTGTAGAAACAGAATTTTTGGGCACAGTCTTTGGGGAAGCAGATGAGGCATCCATCCATCATGGGTTGTACCAAGAAATTAAGGTCATTTGGAAAAAACATGGTTTGGTACGTCATTTATGGCTATAGTTACTGAAGTTAAATGTACTACTATATTTATAGCCAAACCGGCATTTGGATTTCTCAAGACTGGTTGTTGACCTACAATTTAATTGTGATGGTAAATGTTCAAATAAATCTAAAACAAAATTCTATTACTCAAGGATGGACACTAAGAGACAACAAGGTATATATAATATATTAGTTTTTGACATTTTCTCACCATATATGTGCAAATACCCCTGCAAACAGGAAAATTGTTCAGATCTTCTGCATAAGTTAGACAGGCAGCAAGCTATGCACAATTTCTCCTTGTGCTAGCTCAAATTCCATTCCTTTGCTCCTCAGGAGCACATCTTGCTGCCTGAGAATGGCTTGATAAATGACAGGACAGTATTTGCAGTCGAATGGCCTTGCTTCCATCTTGGTTCCACCACTTACTAGCTATGTGATATTAGATAAGTAGGTTACTTCTCTGAGCCCGTCCCCTCATTTGTAAAACAGAAGGATAGGAAAGGAATGACATCTCATTTGTGGGTGTAAGAATTAACAATGAGTTAATGCTGTGAAAGTATTTTATAAACTGTAATGTACAACATTACACATTGATCTAGATTTAATTGAGCTTTTACCAACATAATTACATCTTAGATCAATGTGCCTGACATATTATCCTTAAACATGAATAAAAATTTTTCAAAAATCATGATCATTTATAGTTTTCAGTGCTCATTTTTTTCACTTGGAAATATTTTAAATTATATTCTGAAGCTTTATAATTTTTTTTAAATAAAAGCAAAATTTCTTTAATTATGACTACAGAGTTAGGTGAGTAGTGGAGAGTCAAAAGGATTTTAGTTAAAACAACTTGCAAGCCAACTGGGACTCAGTAATTATTCTTAAACAACTAGAAATGTCAAGTAGCACAACGAATAGCTTAGTAGGTAAGTCAAATAACATAAAGCACATATGTGCAATAAATAATACTTAACTTCTGAGGCTAAAATATGCATATAAAATAAGGAGTAATTGGGGTAGAAGTTTGTCCTTTTTATTCTACTGTAGCAAAGGTATATGTGTAAAGAAAGATGTATCCGCTAATGTTGAAGATTAATCATCATTCAAGCATCAAACATCTTGTTATTTACTGGTTTGATGGAAAACAGTATTTTTCACTGCCAAAACCTTTCCCATTTCTATCAAATTTAGTGTTAGATGTAATTAATTTTATATGCAGGCTTTCAAGTGTCAATATAATTAAAAACTTACTAGAGTAGCATTTTATATTCTAAAATAAGTTAAGAAAATGCTACGGAATCCTTATTCTTCATAGTTACATTATTGATATTAAGCTAAGGTTTCCTAGTACTTGCCTCTTGTAATCGAAAAACAACGGGGATTTTCTTTTCTGTACAGGCAGCTATGAAGTTATCAGGGAGTAACTGTCCGTCTAAAAGAAACTGGTCTTCTTTTCCTTGATCAATTAGTATGTCCAGCTGAGAACCTGGATAGGATTTCACAAGATGGGTAGCATCATATGCCTGTAAAAAGAGAAGTTACATTGAAAAATAAATTCAAAGCTGTTCTTCAGAATAAACTATACTAGTACCAAATAGAAATTTAAAGCTATTTAAGTTCTAAGGCTGATTAAATCAGAAATATGCTTTTAAGTTGGCTCAAAATCTTGCCAGGTTTTTATTTACAAGGTCTTCAGAATTCTATTTTCTAAAAATAGTCTCTTTCCTACTTTCAGGTAGTCCTAGACTAGTGGCAAGAATCCCGTATCTCAGGCATTCTTCACAAAATGTCCCTTTTTCTTCTAAACCTTTAATATTCTTAATCTCCTCTTGACTCCAGTAAAGAAAATGATTTTTTTTTCTTTGTAACTCCTTCCACAAATCGGAAATTAGAAGCTTCTTCTAACTCCATGATCTTTTTCTAAATAGTTCTATTTCAGATAATCTTTTATTTTTCTTCTGGTCTCTTCTTCATGGCTCTAATTCCAGACTAATGCATTCAGCCTTCTTTTTTGCTGTTGAACAGCATCAAACCTCTGTAAGTTTTCAGAAAGATCTGGTATGAATAACCTGAATCATATCTACATCATCTCAAATTTATTATCTGAGGAGCTGCCACTAGTTATAATCTTATATTTTATAACTCATCTTGAAATATTCTTATTCACATATATTCACTAACCACAACTTTTATATGTTGACCAAGACAGACAGCCATCAAAAGATTTTTCCTCTAAGTATCCTGCTTTTGAAGACTCTATTTCCTTTTATCTTAAAAGAGTGAGAGAGGACCTATAAAGTCTGACTAGTTCTAAATCCTATGATTTCATAATTCTACATGGTTTCCTGATTTCAATCATAAATTAAATACCCTAAATACAACATAATTAAGACAGTAAAATCTACTGTCACTTGGAGAAAAGTACATAACAGATTCCTTTTTAGGTTACTTGTGCCTCTACCTTTCACCTTCTCCATCCAAGTAGTTAGTCATTTACCTAATTCTTCTATTAGGCCATAAGTCCCTGGTGGATGTGAAAGATCACCATTTTCGTAACAAAGGAGCTCAGAACTTAGCATAGACTTTGTACCTATGAAGACTTGAAACACTGATGTACATGCAATGTCAGTTCTCAAAGGATCTAATCCTAAATCAGTTCTAGCATTCTTCCAATATAATAAAAATTCAAGCCTAAACACAACTGTAATCTAGTTACTAAAGGGCGAACCCTCTAATTTGTTAGAATTTCAGTACTCATCCTTAAATAAAGTAGGGGGTCCATGTGAGAATGACCACTGAATGCAGAACTATAACTACTTTAAGACAAAGAAGTTGTGTTTTTTTATCCACTCAAGTATTTTCTGCTTGTTAACAATGCACAATGATGAGTTCACTTGCAAAGTATTCAAACTCTTGGTGGAGTTTGCAAATGGCCCATGTCTGCACAAGAGTAAAATGGCTCTTAGGAGAAAGGGTCATTTTTATTTCCACTTGCAAGTACCTGTTTTGCATGCTTAAAAAAGCAATCTTGCTGTGGGAATATTCACATAAATGTATAAAACAGAATATCTATTTTTAAACACTCATGTCTAGAATTTAAGGTCAAGATCTGAAATGCTGAATTTTGAAAAGAAATACATAAAATAATTTAAAAAGTTAGGGTTCTTTGTTTCTCTTACACAATGAGCATATAGTTAATAAGAGGCAAGTCAAAATTTCATTACACAAGTTGAACATCCCTAATCCAAAAATCCAAATTCAGAAATGCTTCAAAATCTGAAACATTTTGAGTACCCACATGATGCTTAAAGGTCACATTAAAAGGAAATGCGCATTGTTGCATTCTGAATTTTTACATTAGGGATGTTCAACCTGAAATATGTGATATTTTTAGATTAGAGATGCTCAACCTGTAATATGTGGTATTTTCTGTTATGTTAATTTAGAAGTCATGTTAATTTAGAAATAAAATATAAATTAGCCCTTAGTAGAAAAAAATGAAGCCCCAGAATACCTGCCACTATTCAATACAATTAGAAAGTAGGGTTTTTTGTTGATATATATATAACTTGCTGATTTGTCTCAGCTCTGGAGCCCTAACTTGAGCAGGGTAGGAATATAATGTCTGTGGTATGTCCAGCCTTTAAAAAAAAACACTTGAAAACTTAAGATTGAATATTAAGATAGCCATTCAGTACCTACCTTCCATTTACTTTGATCTGTTCCCAAATATCCACTAAAGGCTTTTTTGCCCCAGGGACAGAGTACAGGGTTGCAAATTGGCGCAAATGCTGACACAGACTTCAGAAACAAAATGAATTTAAAAACAAGTTATATTTTGCTAAATTAAATATGAACAGATATTCGCAACTTGCTTAAAAATATAGAAGTTATTTGCAACTTACTTAAAAATTCTGACTTGACATTAAAACCCTGTGAACATTTTTCCTTTTGATATATTACTGGCTTAGATTGTAGCCCTTTCCATAATACCTCTTTTCTATATTCTATTAAGAAAGCTAATAAATATAGTTGCTAAAATAATGCAAAACAGTACACTGCAATTTAATTAAGGTACAAACAGAAGTTTATGTTCAGCGTTTCTGCTCTTGTTTTGGCACTGAAAATTAGTCTATAGTAATATAAAAGTTCACGCTTATCTTAGTGAACATGTTACTAAACCTGACACATTATTTCTCTTAAACAGTACCAACAAAGCAGTGAGCAATGCATTTCAATATGATAGAATTTTTAATACAACTCTGTGTTCTGTAAAATGTTCTTTTTCACTGGATATGGTGCAGAGATAGGATCTCTCAATTTCGGAGTACTCATCAATGTACGTGTTTAGTGGTATATACTAGCTTTCTTAAAGGATGAAAAATTCAACTAAGTTTGCTTTTCTACCTCAGACATGATAATTAGACTGCCTTAAAAAAATGGAAGTAGGCTGGTCACAGTGGCTCATGCCTGTTATCCCACCACTTTGGGAGGCTGAGGCAGGCAGATCACCTGAGGTTGGAAGTTCAAGACCAGCCTGACCAACATGGTGAAACCCCATCTCTACTAAAAATACAAAATCAGCTGGGTATGGTGGCACATGCCTGTAATCCTAGCTATTTGGGAGTCTGAGGCAGGAGAATTGCTTGAACCCAGGAGGCGGAGGTTACAGTGAGCCAAGATTGTGCCATTGCACTCCAGCCTGACCAATAAGAGCAAAACACTGTCTCCAAATAAATAAATAAAAATAAAAATGCTTACTTAGCAGAAAACCCACTGTCATGCCATGAATTAGTGAAATTATAATAAAGTTTACCAAAAACAAAATATCTGATGCTACAGCAAGAACCTGCTATGAGAAATATTTTCATTTCTCAGTAGCACACCTACAATAATGAAGTTCTTCTTAAGAGGAAATGAATCAAACCAATCTTAAGGGTACGAATAGCCCTGTAAATTTAAAGGCAGTAGAAATTTTAAGATGATAGTTGCTTTGACATGTCCCTTTTCAACTCTTGTAACATGCTGTTCTGCACAGTATGACACACTACATATGGTAGTTATTCAAATCTGACTCTAGGAAAGGCTGTGATGTTTTTTAATCAAGCTGCATTTCAATTTTCATTAGTGGCATTAAGAACAGAATACTTAAGCTTCTACAAATCATATCTTTTACCTCAGAAAATCAAAGTCAACTTCACAAAGACATTCCTGGTAAGAACATAAATGATAGGTCCTGCCACAATAACATGAGTCAATAATAATAACTTCTAGGGGAAAAGAGTGTTCAAAACCATAGTTAGAATAAAAACAATTAAAGCAGAAGCTACATTTTATAATACTTTTAACAGGCCAATAAGAAAGCACTCTTGGGCCGGGCACAGTGGCTCAAGCCTGTAATCCTAGCACTTTGGGAGGTCAAGGCAGGCGGATCATGAGGTCAAGAGATCGAGACCATCCTGGCTAACATGGTGAAACCCTGTCTCTACTAAAAATACAAAAAAAAAAAAAAAATTAGCTGGGCGTGGTGGCGTGCACCTGTAGTCACAAGCTACCTGGGAGGCTGAGGCAGGAGACTTGCTTGAACCTGGGAGGTGGAGGTTGCAGTGAGCCAAGATTGTACCACTGCACTCCAGCCTGGTGCCTGGCAACAGAGCAAGTCTCTGTCTCAAAAAAAAAAAAAAAAAGAAAGAAAGCACTCTTACTGAATTCCTATGCTTCTGATTCTGTAGCATATACTCTATGGTCAAATTAAATACCCACCTGCCAAACACCCCAAAGTTCTCAACACTAGAAACATTTAGTTTCAATACTAACAATATTGTAATTTTAATATTTGAAGGTTCCTAATATTATGTTATTCAAGAGAAATGTTTATCACTGGAAGTTTAGATAATCTTACTTTGTATTTTCCAGGATTTTTCAAAGCACAGATCAGAGCTCCATGGCCTCCCATGGAGTGGCCAAAAATAGATGTCCTTTGGGGATCCACTGGAAAATTGGCATTTATGAGTTGGGGAAGCTAGAAAAAATTTAATCATGTGACAAAAGATATCAAAGAAAATAAGCTTAGACTTTTCAAAGTTATATAAAATAATTACACAATCAATGCTGCCAAATCATAGTCTTAAAATGATTTGAACCTGTAACAATGAAAAAAAAAACAAAACAAAATTCTCAGGTAGACTATGGTTATTAATATATCCCCAGAAATATATGGTACAGACTTCTTTGAAAACATTTTAGGAAGGTGATGCAGAAAGAACCTTTCAAATGTTCTTAGATTTTGACCTAGTAATTTCTTTTTGGAATATATTCTAAGGAAGTTGGTCCTTAAGGAGAAAACATTATGCACAATCAGTGCAGTAATATTTATTAGGGTAAAAATATATAAAAAACCATAAATATCCTACAAGAGGAAAAAGTAAATTATGGCATATGACAGAATGTTATCCAATTATTAAAATTAGAATAACATTGGAAAATATTTTTATATATAACTTGTAAAAAAGAACAAAATAAGGCCGGGTGTGGTGGCTCATGCCTATAATCCAAGCACTTTGGAGGCCAAGGCGGGCAGATCACCTGAGGTCGGGAATCCAAGATCAGCCTGACCAACATGGTGAAACCAAGTCTTTATTAAAAAAAAAAAAAAAAAAAAAAAAAAGAACAAAATAAAAAGTTTACAGTTACATGAAAACTAGTCATAGAAAGAGTCTGGAATATACCAAAACATAATGGTTTTTGGGGGTAACAGAAATATGGGTGATTAAAAACCTACATTATTGTTTCTAAGTTTTGTGATATATATATTAATAATGAAGATCACATGAAATTTAGAAAAGCATAAGCAGCATACAAATATTATTAATAGAAGTAATGCTTTACCACTTATGTTTTCTAACTAAGCCTTGGCTTACCACTGTAAAATATATCCAAATGTGCTTATGTAAATTTAATGGTAAAAACAAAACAAAACAAAACAAAACTATATCCAAATGAACCAGCTGCCAGACAAAGTAAAGTTTTTTTCATGTATCATTTTCTTGGTTATTCTGGGTAGCATAAACAGGTCTCAATATAATGATTGAATTCTTTAATTGTACTTAGTGTTAATTTAAATTGCAGTAAATAGGACTACAGTACTAGTAAACTTTGGGATTTTTCACTAATAACTTTTATACCCTAGTTTAAAATCCTCAGGACTGTAAGGACTTTGTGTCCAAAAATCAAACTCTTGGCAGTCATCAGTTAATAATTACAATACAAATTAGATTACCTCCTCCGTGATGTAAGAGTACATTCTGTAGTTGGTTTTCCAAGGATCTTCGGTGGCATCAACATAAAATCCAGCACCAGTGCCAAAGTCCCAGCTCTCATCTTCTCCTTTAATATTGCAGCCACCTATCAAGAAACAATCTTGTGGTTTTGTCTACTCTGTAGTAATGGCCCGTGTTTAGCACCACACTTGCAAATGAATCTGCAAGTCCATTTGCATGGGAACTGTTCACCAAATGTTGTGAGCTCTCTGCCTTTTCGGGCACATGATAGGATTATGCTTCCTGCTCCTCTTTCCCTTGAATGGGGCCACGTGACTCATTCTAGCCAGTGAGGTAAAAAAATGACTTTCTAAGCTGGAGTATTCAGCTGCCAAGGTAAAGCACACTAACTTTCTTTGTTGATGAAGTTGCTTTTGTACTCTAAATATATGCTTCCTTACTCTGGTTTACCTGTCAAAGGACTTAAATCTTCTTTTGGTCTTTCAGAAATATATTGTGATTCCTTCCCTGATGACCCTCTCTCACCAGCACCTCTGTAATTCTTACACAGGAGTGGGGCAGCAGATGCTTGTGCTCAACTCACCATCTTGAACTGAAAATATTTTCTACTATGCTTTATTAATGGAGTCATTGTATCACATTTCCCTATCTATCCATCCTCCACAGAAATTTTTTTATACTTCTTTTTAATTTATTACATTTTATTTTATATACTTGCATGTGGTTAAAAAGCCAACCACTGGGATTTTGAATAGAATTACAGTAATACATAGAGTAATTTGAAGACATAACCTTGTCATAAGATCCATTTTATCCATCTAGAAAAATAGTATTTTCCCATTTATTAAAGTCTTCATTTATGATCTTTAGCAAAATTTTAGTTTCCTTTTTATACATCTTTCTAAGTTTATTCCTTAATATTTTATATTTTTGATGCTATTTGAATTAAATCTGTTATATTTCTAACCAACATGCCTTGTTTTTATACAATATGGCCTGTGAAAGGAAATATAGTACTTCCCAGGCCAGCCATATACCTTCCCTCATTTTACTGCCATTTAAATTCCATTTTCTGCCACTTCTAGAGTCATAAAACAAGTTTTAACTGTCTGATACATTGAGTTCTCATATATTTGTTATTTTCATTTCTCTAATGTAAATATTCAAATCATCTATATTAAAACTAATACTTGTTTAACTGTATGACTGATGTTAACAGAGATAAAAAAAGATGTAATTATCATGTAACAAGACAGTTTACCTTTGGAATAGAAAAAATAATTTCCTATGCATTACACATTAGTATTTTGACAGTAGTTCCAATATGATATATGAATTGAGTTGCTCAAACTCTGCTTTGAAGTATCTTAATCTGTACAATGGGAATAGCAAAACTATCCTCTTTCATAAGAGCCATGTCATGAGTAAAACTCAATGAGGAAAATGTATAGCATAGTATTTTGGAGTCATGATGACAACTGAAAGGTTAACAGAGATAATAGCAAGAATATAAAATGAATTGTATAATGTATATATCGTACCACTTATAACAGTCCTAAAAATTTAGATGTTTATAAAGGATATCTGGATCACAAACACTTACGAGGGCTGGTGTCTGGAGCAATGACAACAAGACCATGTTCTGAAGCAGCTTGATGATAACCAGATTTTGATATGAAATTTTGTTCTGTGCAAGTTAAACCTGAAGATAAAAAATATTGTTACTGGGCACACAAGGACATAAAAGATGTGTACCATTAACACTGAGGACCATTAGACCAGGAGGAGAGGGGGATGAACAAGGGCTAAAAAACCACCAATTAGTACTTCTACTGCTCACTACCTGGGTGATGGAATCACTCATACCCCAAACCTCCAAATCATGCAATATGCTCTTGTAACAAACCTGCACATGTACCCCTTAATCTAAAGTAAAAGTTGAAATTATTAAAAAAAATTATCTCATGCTATATTGTGAATAGTTTATAAGCTTTAAACTTTTTATAATACAGGAAAACAAGTTTACTTGGTATTATTAAAAAATTTTTTTTTGCTTTAGTAATAATTGAATAGGACACTAAAATTCACTTTTTAAATAAAATTTGTAATAGTATTAACCCAAGAACTGTGTTAGGTTAAGTGATTCCATAACTATCCTTTTGAAATCACTTACTGAAGTTTCAATTACTAAAATGCTTTGGACCAGATGTTTGGGAATTCAGAAATTTTCAAACTGTAGAGTGGCAATATAGTGCATAAGCCCAATATTAAACAACTCCAGTGAAATGTTATCAAATATGCTAATTAAACATCGCACTATTTCTGCATCAAAACATGAACATTTACAATAAATAAGCAAATACTATAGTATTCAGAATACAAATAACTTAATCTTTTTTATATACAGGTAGTTCTCAGCAAAAAATTTAGCTTAATCATCTTTGTATTCTTCACCGAACTAAAAGAGAATACTGGTGACCACATGCCATCCTTTGAGTTTTAGCCTCAGTTTTTAGAAGTTTCTGTTATTTTTCCTGGCTCTATGCTTTTCAGTCATGTGATAGAGAAGATGACTTAATTCTTTTACTTTAGTTATCTAATACTATAATAACGATGTGAGAATGACAAGGAACGAACTACCAGTCGACTTTATTGATCATTTCACCAGTTGAGAGACATTTGGTTTGTTTATACTTTTTGGCTATTATAATAGTGTGCTATGAACATTCATGTGCAAGTTTTTGTGTGGACATGTTCAATTATATTGGGTACACAGCTAATAAAGGGCTATTTCAATGGTCACCTTTACTGGAGAAAGATACAAATCACTACACATGAACTATCTTTTAAGATTTCAGTTTGGATGTTTTGATTTCGGCTAATTTCTCTATTGTAGCAATGTAATAGCTGTGTCATTCGTTTCCTTAGACTTACTGGGAAGTAAGTAAATCTTCTGAAATTCTTTTGTCATCATCTCATGTGCATTGGTCAGGCAATCTTACCTTTATCAGAAAATCAAGCCTTAATTTCCAAGGTCTATCTGTTCTTCAGCATCTCACTAAGGAAACTGTCCTGTCATTTGATGTAAACAAACAAAAGTTCTGTGTTTTATACTTGTAAAGTTCAGATGTCTTGCTAGATTCCATTTGGGTTCGAACTTAGGGCCTTATTATTAGAGTACCTCTGACACAATGCCTTGATCTGGTTATTACTGTTTAATCAAGAGATATGACTACAGTAGCCCTCACCAGAAACAAAATGCAAAAACAACAGGAGAAAAAACTAAATACAGCTCTGGACTGTGAGTCAGAAAATTTGTTTAACTCCACATTACTGTGTGACCCTGGCCAATATTTGGCTTCTCTGGGCCTCGTTTTCTTTCTAGGGATTACATGATTTCTAAGATCATTTTTCACTACACAATATTATGTTTTCTGAGACAATTAAATAACTAATTTTGTTTCTCTTGCTTTTGGCAATATCTATGCTCTTCTAGCAAAATCAGTTGTTCTTCATTCAATCCAGAAATGTTTTCTTGAGTTAAAGTCAGATATGCACTTAATCTTTACACTTTAAGACAAAATATTTATTCTCATTTTCAAAGACAGGTATTTGGGACTTGTCCTTGACGAAACATACATGAGGGAGGATTTGTTAAATCAAAGTTACAGGAACCAATTTGAAGAAAAAAAAATTAAAATAGTACCCTATGAAACACTTTAGTTGCTATAATTCTCTCTATAATGTTTGTTTCTAAAGATGAAGTAGTACCAACATCTTGTGAAAGAAAAGTTAACACAGAGGTTTCAAAATGCAGGTGTCAAAATCTGACTCTCTTCACAATCTACTCTACAGTCTTTAATACTAACCTCCGATTAAGAAGCATTAGCATTCTTTTTTGACTTTCCAGATTGTTGTTAGAGAAGCTCAATGGAGTCTAATTAAAATATTTTAGAGAACATTGTAAGAAGTTACTTGACTTCTTAGAAATAGCTGGTTTCTAATTAGAGTGTCCTGATGTCCTGATTTCACCTAATATTGTTCTATTGGACTAGCAAAGTCTCTATAAACTCCAGAAATGTTTGAATAGGTACAAATTAGGTAAATAACTTCTCTAAGTCCTTGCTATTGAGTACAGAACTTTGCATTTTCTGCTAAATTACTTGGTCTACTAGAAAAAGATGTGAAATAAGTGTAACTCAGTAGGTCTGAAATTATTCTCAGGATAAAGTAACAGAGTAGACTATGACAGGTCCCTAAAGACTAATTTAGGCTCAGAAAGCCTATCAAGTCAAAACAAAAGGGTAAGATAAGCCAGTTAAAAAGAAAAAGGAAACTACTTTATAGAACTCAAATGTGTAATACTTACCTGAGAGCCAATACAGCGCAGGGCACTTTCCAGTTTCTGCCTTTGGTGGTAGGTAGACAGCAAATTTCATTTTGCAGTTCAGTTCAACACTAATTTTAGCAACAAAATATTAATGTCCCTCATTAGACAAGATAGAAACAAAATAATTATGTACTATATAAAAAGATATGTAGTAAAGGTCCGAAGTAAGTTATTTAATGTCTAAAATAAATGGTTCAATCAACATTTAAGGAATATATTTGTTCCTTAAAGAATGAATGTGGCCAATCTGGCATACTGATCTAAACCAACCTGAGCCTATACTTTGCATGGCACTGTTATTTTGGGCAGAGTAAGTGAAAAATAAACGTAATCCTCATTGTGGTACTTATTTGAAAAAATTGTTTCTGTTTCTAAAGAAATGTATGAAATCACAAATCATCTTTTATAAAAAAAAAAATGAATTCTTGCCAGACATGGTGGCTCATGCTTGTAATCCCAGCACTCTGGGAGGCAGAGGCAGTTGGGTCACGAGGTCAGGAGTTCAAGACCAGCCTGGCCAAGATACTGAAACCCCATCTCTACTAAAAATAAAAAAATTAGCTGGGCATGGTGGTGGGCGCCTGTAATTCCAGTTACTTGGGAGGCTGAGGCAGGAGAATTGCTGGAACCCAGGAGGCGGAGGTTGCAGTGAGCCAAGATCGCACGATTGTTCTCCAGCCTGGGCAACAGAGTGAGATTCCATCTCAAAAAAAAAAAAAGAATTCTTGAGATCTTACATATTTGCTCAGGGCACTAAAATGCAACACATCCTTAATTTGCTCTTTCATAACTAATATTTCATCACAATCACTATTAATGCAACTGGAAAAGACAATTTTGATTAAAACCGCAGGCATTCTTCCAGTAAACAGTAATTCACGCAACAATGATCTCTCATGGGTTTAATTTAATACATCATATAGATGGAAGTAAACTCTTACCTCTTCAGAGTAAACACCTATCTTTTTATTAAAGTTATTAAGTACATACAGTTTAAAGTAAACTGTAACTGTAAATAGTAAATACTTCCACAAACTTTGTTATGAAAAACTAGTTTTCCCTGGCCCAATCTTTTCATTTGCATATTCCAGAGATAATTAATTTACTTCTTTTAGCTAATTTTTCTGGTATTTATGTCCCTATCTAAATAACATGACTTTATTACTGCTTCTAGATTCTTCAGTTTTTAGTTATCATCTACTGACTTCCCATTACAGGAGGATTTTAGTGAACTTTCACCTCCTTGTCTTTGCTCTCCGCACTCTTCTACATTTCTCCTTCTACTATCCTATATATATAATTTTGGCTAATCAATATTAAGAAGTTATAAATGCTATTCAGAGATGTGCCATGTAGTATATCAGAATTACTTCCCCTTTTCTTTCAGTTTTTCATTTTCATTAAGCTAGGAATTCTCTTTTTGTTACTGGTTGTTCTTCCTTGTTAGGAATAGACTCCCACAAAGAGAAGTTTTCTGTATGCTCCCTTCCATTCTCTGCATATTGGTGATTTCCTTTTTTCACATTATTCTAAGCAACTTTTCTTATTGATGACTGATGGCATAAAAAAGTTCTAACAGCTGTTTTTAAGTTTTCAACTTTTCTTAGGGAAGTTGAAACATTTACTTTCATTATAATACCATATTAAGTCCATATCCAATGCAGGGATATTTGTTATCAATATGTAAAATCAAGAGATCATAATCTTGTTACAGGATGGTTGGTGCCTTAAGACCTTTCTTGCACATTAAAAAGTTTGTTAAGAGGGTATATCTCACGTTAAGTGTTCTTATCACAATAACATTTTTAAAAGAAGACCTTTCTCAAGTAGTTGTGGAACAAATCAGGTCTAAAGTATGTTCAACATTGGTATGACTAACGTTTATGTAAAAGCAAAAAAACCAGGATTAGCAAGTAATCTTCTGAAACTTCTGTCCCTATCATGTCATTAAGATGCTGCTCAGTTACCAAAAGAATACCATCTCATGCACAAAGATTTGTGTGTTCACTCTATATGTATCACTAATTCAATTCCAAACTCCCTCAACACTGATAGGTTTCGTAAATTTCCTCTCCAATACAGTCAAATCTATCAGTTTCATCTACATTAAAAAAATCTCTTCAGACCAGTACTGCCGAACAGAACTTTCTACAGTGATATTAATAAAAATGTTCTACATATGTATTATCCAGTACAATAGCTTCTAGTAACCTGTGACTACTGAGCAATTGAAATGTGGCTAGTGGGACTGAAGTTTTATTATTTAAATAATTTGATGTAAATGGCTGCATGTAATTTCTGGCTACCATACCTCCAGCTTTTGACCTGCTGCTTCCTAGTTGCTGCCTTAATATGGCCCCACTCATATGGAATTTTTTTCTCTTCTGATCTGTTTTCTTGGGTCTTACGTCTTCAGCTGTCTTGCTTTAGTCCCTCATTTTGGTGAAGCGTATTATTCAGTTGCTTGCAAAAGTGCATGGGAAATACACTTTCAGACCTTTCATATATGAAAATGTCTTCATTCTACTCTTACTTAACTGACAATATGATTGGACATAGAACTCATCCTTCAGAATCCTGAAAGCACTGCTGCTCTGCATTCTTTGTTCTAGTAATACCATTGAACTAACCTACACCTTTGAAAATTCTTAATCTACTTTCTCTTTTTCTCAACGTTTGAGAATTTTCTCTGCTTCCAATGCTCCAAAACTTTACAATGTTGTTGGTGTAGATCTGCTTTCATCCACTATACTAGACAACTTTTTACATCTGGCAACTTAAACCTGTCAGTTCTGGGAATTCTTGAATTATTTCTTTATTCTTTGTATCTATACTTCTATTTGTTTTATTTTCCAAAATTCTAATATTTAATGTTGGGTTTTTGGACTAGTCCTCTAATTTTCTTATCCTTTCTGATTTATCACTTTTGTCTTATTTTACTTTCGAGAATGTCAACTAAGCCTTTTTTTTTTGAGTTTTGTCATTTCTACTATAAAAACTTAAATGTCTGGGCTTTTTTGTACTTGAAGTTTATTTTATTTTATATTTTTCGAGACAGAGTTTCACTCTTGTTGCCCAGGCTGGAGTGCAGTGGTGCCATCTCAGCTCACTGCAACCTCTCCCTCCCAGGTCAGCAATTCTCCTGCCTCAGCCTCTTGAGTAGCTGGGATTACAGGTATGCATCACTATGCCTGGCTAATTTTTGTATTTTTTTTTTTCAGTAGAGATGGTGTTTCACCATGTTGTCCAGACTTGTCTTGAACTCCTGACCTCAAGTGATCTGCCTGCTTCAGCCTCCCAAAGTGTTGAGATTACAGGCGTGAGTCACCACGCCTGTCCATGTACTTGAATATTTTTAATAGCATCCTACAAAGTCAGAGGTCAATATCTTTTATGCCTTTGATATGAACAGCAGTTTACATTAAATTAAAGGCTTTACATAAATGTCTAGTGATCTTTAGCAGTCCACTCCTATTTAAGAGTGAAACGCTAAAAATCTAGTTGAAAGCACTGTGCCTACTAGTGGAGTTTTCAATCACTGCTTTACTGTAAGCTCTGGTTAGATTACTCTTGGCAAATTGTAGTATCTTGAAATTTCTTCCTTTGGGCTACTCAAAATTCCCACAGGACAATTCTTCTGAAGGATACAAGAGTAACTCCTCAAATTTTGAAAGCTAGTAAAAGAAACTCAGTGTGTAAACTTTTGCTTAATTTATTTGCGGTATCACAACTCCCACCAATTATGTCTGGTATTCCCTAACACAAATGCTCTGTTTACTATCTCTAGAGAACATACCTCCAATTTTTTTCCAGAGTTATAAGAAGCAGTGCATAAAAAGCTGGGACACTCTCAGATCTATCACCTTTTAAAAACAGACTTTCAATTAATCTTCTTTTTTCTGAGTTCAGCCTTTATCCTGATTTTCAGGTATACCTGGTGCCTTCAATTACTATGGCTTTTTATAAGTTGTGTCATTTCTCAGCTTTTTATTGCCGATGTTTAGAATTTAGCTTTCTAGGCTTTAATAAGTCAGGTACTACCTGTCCATTTGTATTCCTGCTTCTAAAATGTTACTCTTAGCTCCTGTCTCCTGCTTCTTTTTGCCTTTACAAGGGTGTGTGTGTGTTTGTTTAATATCTTTACTTAATGCCATGTTAGTCAGAGTTTTGGAGGGAGCAGAAGCAAATCCATATGTTTAATGTGCTCTTTCTCAAAAAGTCCAGGTGTTTTTCCTACACTTAGAGATCCTCAAAGAAAATGTTTCAGAATTTTTACTGGCAACATAAGCATTTTCACAAAGTTTCAGAAAAGCATCAAGTTAAATACTTCTCTGTTAAGAGAAATATTAATACTTCTCGGTTGAAGATACTTTTCTGTTAAGGCTCTACCTCACACAATCATATCCACAGCTAATAAGTCTGGTAAACTGTCAAATAGATAACCACAGAAAGAGAGTAAGCAAGTCTAAAAGTAAAATGAGGTACCATAATATCTAAAGATTTGTTTTAAAATAGAACAAAATAATTCAACAGAATGAGAGGTATCTAAAATTATATCTTCTTAATAGATACCTGTCATGTTCAAAAACTTTCTGCAATCCCCCAAAGCACTTGTTGCTGGAAATCTGCTTCAATGCCATTCTTCTCCTATTAGTAGAGTAATCTCATTAATTTCCAGAGAATTAGTTCCTGAAAACTAGAAACAAAACCAATTGCTTTCAGATAAATTATCTGATCATACAACTATTTTTTACCTAGAATTTGCTTTTCACGTTTTTCTCCAGTAAATAATATTAAGAAACTGATTAACTCACATATACACATTTACATTTGTTACTCACTTTTAAAATATTTCATACTTTGGTATATCATTACTAATTTATTAACAAGTTCTTTGTCATGGTGGACTGCCCCAAATTCTTTTTTAAAAAAGGCTGAAAATAAATAAGTTACCAATTAATTACATTAGTTTAGAAGATTAAAAATTGCTAACAGTCTGCCTATCAACTGCAACAAAGTAAACAAGGAATTGGTGTAACTAATTATGGTTGATTTCAAAATGGAAGAAAGATGATGTGATAATGATTTTGCTCATAATAACAGATAACATTACTGAACACTTACAGACTGACATAGATTTTTCTAGATATTAAACCAGATCCAATTACTCATCCCATGAGTTTTTAAGGGAAAGCAATATGAAACAAGATCAACACTTCTCTTCTTAAAACAAACCAATTAAGTAAAACATAAGCCTGTTAACTCTTTTCTGTCCAATATTTTAAATTTTCATGTAAAAATAATTTTAAACTTATATGTAAAATAACATATATTTTACTGCTTTTACTGATCAATACAGGAAGAAAGAAAACCATTTTATCATAAATGCCTCTTGAGCAAAGGGAAACCACACTGATTCTGACGGAAAGATTCCCTTCCTATTCCTAGAAGCACTGTATTAGAATATAAGGCAGTAAGTCCTACATACTAAAGAAAAACCTTTAGATATCTGTAACAGGTATTACCACCCTGGTGATCTTCTCAGTGAAATGCACTACTATGTGCCTATCAGCTGTAGCTTTGGGATTACTCTTTCAAAGATATTTAACAATAATCTTAAAAAGCTAAGTTGGAAATGTCTTTGTAAAATACTTAAAAATATAGCTTCAATCTTATCTTTAATTTTTTCAATAAACCCAAATACTTAGTTTTATTTTGGAAGACTAGGATTTGAACCCAGGAGGTCTAACATCAGAGTCCCTACTCTTAGCTACTATGCTGTCCTGACTCTCTAGAGGTTCTTTAAAGACTTTTTTTTTTAAAGGCACTCTAAGATAACTGATTCTGTAGAATTATGATATTATAATTGTACATAGAGAAACTACCATCTGCTCAGTTTTATGCTTTTAATCTATAAAAGATTAATTCTTGAACAACAAACTCCTATGAGATGTTATTAGTTATTGAATATTAACTTTAGCTATCGTTCACAATCCTCTCTTAAATAATGAACTACAGAGATAGACATTGTCTAATTTTAATATATTAACACATATATATGAGACCAACAAATAAAATTTATTTGCTCCATTATTCCATAAGGAAACCAGATTTTCTTAAACTTAGCAAGGACTATAGCCACTTTGCAGAAGATAGTATACTGAGCATGTATCTGGTACATAGGAGTCTATATACTTTGCTGTTCATCTATTTTAATAAATCTCAAGTTGTCAGTTTTCTCTGCTTTCAAATTTCAAAACCAAATACTTTTCATTTGGCCAGAAGGAACAACGTCAAAACACTTTTTAAAAGTCGGTAGAATATTTTTTAAAAAACAAAATTTTTAAAGTATTTTTTTCTACCCACCCATTTTAGAAACTATCTTTAATTACAAATCAAAAAATATGTTAGGCTTAACAAGAAATATGACATAAACTAAGAACCTGACATGACATACTGTGACATACTATGATATCTAAAAGGTGGTTATATTTTTCAATAGAATTTTTCTATGTAAAAAATAGCATGTTTTAAAACAAGCTATTAATGTTTTTTCATTCAATGTTCAGAGTAATATATAATAAAAAAAGTAAGTTTACCTGTCCAATTGTTGACTGTTTTTTGCTTGAACCAAAGGGTACACGATGCTGAAAAAAAGACCAAATGGTTTACAATGGGATATACTTTTCACAGCAAAGGTTATATGGAGCTTATATATGCATATGCATTCTCAATAGAGACATTTTCCTCTTTTGAGGTAGGTGATTGTCTACCCTGATGGGATACCACATCACCACTTAATCCAATTACCTTAATTGCCCATAATCTAATTATTTGCCACAAGGCCACCTTAATACCTATTTTGCCATAAGGCTTGTTGGTGGTTAGTTGGTCAAAAACATTTGTTTTTGTATATAGTATATAGACTCCTATGTACCAGAAATAAAAGTATTATGAAAGTTTATCTTTTTAAATCAATAAAAAAATTTTAAAAAATCAATAATTTTTTAAATCAATAAAAAGTATATAGACTCCTATGTACCAGAAGTAAAAGTATTATGAAAGTTTTTTATCTTCTTAAATCAATAAAAAAAATTTCAAGTGTAATTTGGAAGTATGAGATGTATTCAACTGCTGAGTGAAGAAAACAAGAGTGTGGACTAGTTAAGTAGAGGAAAATGGATCTATCTGGCTCAGAGTTGTAAGTGGAACTTGTAACATGTGGAGAAAAAAGGAGGGAAGAGATGAGGCCTGCAGGACTACTACTAGGGTGACTAGAAAGGATGTATAAGTAAAGCAGGCTTATGAATTATACTGAAGTGACTGATAATCAGTAAGAAAAAATATATATAGAAACTTACATAGTATATATCATGTCACTTGTCTGATAGATTTCATTTAGGCTCCAGAACAAACATGTATGTAGGTTCTAGACCAGATTTTCTGGGAGAAATAGGGTGACAGAGTAGGGTAGACTACCAAAAAACCAAACAACACCCTTCCTACTTCTCCTCCAAAAATAAAAATAAAGCCCAGAAAAACAATTTCACAGTGCCAGTGGGGTCACACAATTTTCCCCAAAAGTTAGTGAACATCAACGTTCGTTGGAGAAGAAAGGGTCTCTCAGTGCATAATACATCCAGTCCCCTAAAGATCAATCCTTACTGTTCCTCTCTTTATATTTTATTTATTTATTTATTTTGGAGGCAGGTTCTTGGCCCTGTGGCCCAGGTTGTAGTATAGTTACACAATCATGACTCAGTGTAACCTAGAACTCCAAGCTTCAAGTGATCCTCCTACCTCAGCTTCCTAAGCAGCTAGGACTACAGGCACATACCACACCTGAATAATTAAAAAAAAAATTTTTTTTGTAGAGACAGAGCCCTTATTGAAGCTAAATGACACACCTGCAGAAATCTGAGTTTTACTTTTATCCTTCTTCCCCTGAGTCTCAAGTTTTCCATTCTCTCAGATTCTTGGATTTCGATCTTTCTTCATTTTCAGGGTGTCCTATTCCACTGGCTCTTAATGACCTAGACAGGTGTTCCCAAAACCAATGGACTATAGTGCCAATAACTGGCTGTTGACCACCATGGTGGTGTTCAAATCGTCTTCTCTGTGAAAACTCAGGATCTGGCTTCTTCCCTTTCACTCTGTCTCCTCGCACCTCCCTTTTCTTTTTTCTTCACACTCTCTTTCCCTAAACCTCATTCCCTAAATTTCAACTATATTTTCTGGGTGAAATAATTTAAATCTGCATCTCTATAACCAATCTTTCTGAAGCATTAGTGCCCATAATGAAATTTCTTGCTGGGACCTTCTACCAAGACATGTCACCGGCTATTAAAACTCAATACATCTAAAATTAAGCTTCTACATCTCACCTTCAAACCATTCCTCTCTCTTCATGGCCTCCCTTTTCCAGACTAATGCCTGTCTTGCCTAACTTACATTTGAGATGCCTCAAAGTCACATTCTTTTTGAATTCCCACTGCCATCATCCTAATTATATATATATGGGGATTAAAGCCTGGTGTTTTAATCCAGTTAATTTACGGTTTAATGGATCCCTACAAACAGCTCATCTGCAGGCCTAATACGGCCTACATGTAATTGTTAGTCATTTTTACTTAGTATTTTTTAAACTGTGATAAAAACAAATACATAAAATTTACTATCTCAACCATTCCTAAGTGTGTATTTCACTAGAGTTAAGTATCCGTTAGTCATAATTAAAAGCACAGTTGCTAGCTCACAATAGTGAGCAGATGAGAACTGCTTGACCACCCCCTGGCTGCTGCAGGTGGAGGCTGCTAATCCCCTTCACTGCTAGGCCAGTAGCTGAGAACCTGGAAGTCAGCGAAATGGAAGACCATGTTAATTTTATAATTTTCTTCAAGTTTAATGCCATTAAAGTTTCATAAAATTAAAACCATGAAGGATCACTGAAAAAAGGTAAGAATGAATAAAACTCCATATAAACTTCAATCACATTCTACCTGTGTACAAGCATAGTCTTATTTTATTTTTTAAGATAGCGTCTAACTCTGTGGCCCAAGTTGGAGTGCAGTGGTGTGATCTCGGCTCACTGCAATCTCCCCGCCTCAGCCTCCGGAGTAACTGGGACCACAGGTGGCACCACCATGCCTGGCTAATTTGTTTGTAGAGGAGGTTTGGCCATGTTGCCTAGGCTGGGTCTATTCTCCTTTATAAAAATTCACATGGCTTGTCAAACTCAGAATATCCACTACACTCTGGGGGGGAAAAAACTAGAAAAATATAACATCTATAAACACCCAACACTTCCACTTGGCTCTAAATATGGTCTATAATTTGGTCCCACATTATTTTTCTGGTCTCACTTCCTATTAAGTTAGCTAAACCCAACTATGCGTAATTCTAGAATGGCCTGGATGTTGCTATCAGGTGACTTTACTCAATTCCACAGTACAATAGTTTCAGATCATGTTCTGAGGCCAGACCCTCTGGGTTCAAAGTCTGGCTTCACCATTCATTACTACTTGACACCGGGTAAGTTATTTAATCTGTGCCTCATTTGCCCATCTGCAAATGGGGATACAGTAATATCAGTTTGATAGGGTTGCTCTGGAAGTTAAATGAGTTAATTCACACAGTGCTTGGAACGCTGCCTCTACCACACTAACAAACAAAAACTATTATTTTTCCTGCAACCTGGAATGACATCCTTCAAGTGGGCTCAAATCCCATTTCCCTGATGACCTCATCAGAAATGACTTCCAGTCCCCCACAGCGCTCTGAGAGCGGTTTCCGACCGGAACGGATTTCGCCAAACTCCAAAGACGCGGGTTCCCCTCGGCATCACCAGGTGAGCGCTGCTGACCGCGCCATTGGGTCGTGCCAGGACGTGGACGCTGCCCAGGGCAGCAGGTCCACACTCCCCTAAACCAGGCGCCGGTGGGCGCTACTAACGCGTTGAGGCCCGCTCCCTCCTTAAAATGCGTGCACATCTACTTCATATTTTCGCGCGGTGGATGCGAAAAGTCTTTGTAAACTGGAAAAGGCTGTACAAATGTAGCGGGCAGTAGGTAAACCGGCCCTTCCCCTGGGATGCGATGCACGCCCGAGCGCCCCGGGTTACACTAGGTTGGAGGCTCAGAGAAGGAAAAGGGATTAAGGGCGAGGCTCCGCGTCTCGGGACAAGGTCCTTGGCCTCCTGTCATGCCTGGTGGCGCTAGGGACCCGTGATCGCCATCTCTGCGATCGTGCATGCGGATATCTGCACCGCAAGCCTCGGTGTCCGCCCGGATCAGGCCTACCCGTGCCGCCGCAGCCGCAGCCGCAGCCGCAGCCGCAGCCGTAGCTGCAAGAGCCGCAAGAGGGCTGACAATGTCCAGGCCTCTACCCGGACCCAGTCTTACCTCCGGCGGCAGAGTTACCAGCAGACGCAGCCGGAAGTAAAAGACGGGCTCAAGATGGCCGCCGGAGCCTCCCTCTCGGCCCTCCCCCACCAATATGATGCCCCGCCCCTCCGGTCCCGCTCACTCTGGCTTTTAACTCCGGTTCCCCAGTCCGGTTCCCATGGCCTCGCCCCTTTGCACATTGCGCTTCCCGGCAGCCTCCGCGTGGGCGTCCCCTCCGACTCTTGCTTTCACCGGCTTTTCCACTCCTGGTGGTTACTAGGACCAACGAGGGGGGCGTTTGAGGTTAATCCCTGTTACCTTGCCTGAGCGCAGTCCGCTGTGCGTGCTCAGACTCTTCCCAGCAAGAACCCGAAGCATTAATAAATTTGAGGTCTAGCTTCACTTAACTCGAGGAGAGGGTTTCTGTGTCACTTACGTAGAAACTAGGGCCCAATTTCAACTCCCCCCCACTCCTCTGTCCTAAGTCTATCCACGTCACCTACTTGGTAGCTGGAGTTAAACAAGAATCCTTTGAAATCTCCAGTCACCGACACGCAGTGGGATCACTATCAGTTTTCCTGTTTCCTTCCTTCCTTCCCTCAATAAAAATTAACTTGAACTAAGTAACATTTGCTGGTTGATAATTTACAGCAAATCTTTCCTTTTGGCCTCTCTGATTAAGTAAACTGTGAGTGTACTTTGCCTCTTGAGAAATTAAATCTGATTACAACAGAGCTACATATTTTTCACCAATGGTTAGACTGACATTGTAAATACACTATCTGATAGTTGGGGCTGGCCTCGTGGTCCTGCAACCTGTGCTCTTACCCCGGCCCCCAGAACAGAAGGACGCTACACTTTATCTCAATAAGTTTTGAACCCCGGGCCCCACATTTATGTCTAGCACTGGGCCCTGCAAATTGTGTAGTGATAGGAACTGATATAAGTATGGATGAGCTGCCACACAGAAGATTACCTGCCAGAATCTATTGTGTGGCTCAGGCTCCTTTTGCCATAGTGATCTTTGGACTAATTTAACCTGTGGACTGAACCTGTGAATCAATTGGAATTCAGACTAAAAATAATGTTTCATCAAAATAATGTTTTTATTTTGAGAAAGCATTAAATTGTTTTAAACTTTATTTTTACTAATAAAGAATTGAAAAGGGGATTTTCTTCAGTTTCAAAACTGAAACAGAATAAATGAATACCTGTTTGCAAGTTCTTTAGAACTGATGTTTGAACAAAGATAAATAATTAAATGATAAATTCGCCTCACTGCTTCGAGGTGGACTAGCCAAAGAACTCTAAGTGTGAAGTTCTTTTACTAAAGGGTTCTTGTGTTAATACAATATGAGAATAATTAGAACTAAAATCTCTTTTACACAGCATAAATAAAATGTTAATTGATCCACAAAAGTTGATTTCTTTAAAATATTAAGAATGTGTATATAATTATAATTATTTGGACATGGAAGCAAAGTAAGCTGAAATCAGAAATTAAGATTGACATTTTAGATAATGAAACTATCAATAAAAATGGATCAATATTAAGTACCCAAAGAAATAGTCCAAAAATTATATGTGAATGTGTGACTGAGAAGATTTAGGACTCTTGGGTTGAACTAAAATAAATTGGAATATAATCTTAAGGAGGTAATAAAGGGATGCAACAAAACTGAGAAAACGTCAAATATACTTAAAGCCTATAAGAAAAGAGATTGTATTAGTCAGTTCCAGCTTAACAGAAATGTAATCCTCACCATTCTAAAAGTCTAGGAAGTCCAAGATCAGGGTGCTGGTGAATTCTGTTCCTGCTAAGAGTCCATTTCCTGGTTTACAGAGGAATACCTTCTTGCTATAGCCTCACTTGGTAGGTGGGGTGAGGAGAGCTCTGGTTCCTTCATCTTATTATAAGGGCACTAGTCCCATTCACATGGACTATGCCATTGTGGTATAATTATCTCCCGAAGTCTCCACCTCTACATACCATCATGTTAAGGATATAGGGTTCATTGTTTGAATGTTGGGGGTTAAAAACATTCAGTCTATGCCAGTGATGATTTTAGAGAGTCTAGAAAAGGCACCATACATAGAAAGTTATATAATCTCTTGGGCATCCAATATGCTATTTGAGAAGTGTCCTTGTGGCTTTTCCACAGACTAGAATAGGGTTTCTCAACCTTGGCACTATTGACGTTGGGGCCAGATAATTCTTTGTTGTAGGGACCTATCCTATGCTGTAGCAGGTTTCGGAATATCCCTAGGCTCCATTAGCTAGATGCTGGTAGCACCCCCAACAAGCTTAGATACTCAATACGTCTCTAAACATTGCCAAATGTCCATGGAGAGAGGGGTTGGGGAAGAGGAGGGCAGCACAATTGCCCCTAGTTAAGAACCACTGACTTAGATAAACACTTTTCAAAACTCCCTTTATTCTGATCTGTTCTTATCTAGTGACATTTTGGAAAAGAATGGCCTCCACTGTTATTTAATAAATCAGAACTTAGGCTAATAATGCTTTAGTCTCTGGTGAGTCTAGTTGAGATGATACGTTTCCCCAAAGACTACTACCTCTGAGCATGATATTCACCTTATAAAATTGAGTTTCTGAATGTGTACTCTGAGGACCAGACTTTGGATCATGGGAACTCAACTAAGTACCAAAAACTTATAGCCCTATGGCACTGTTCCACCTTGTGTTTGTTATCTTAGTTCTAACTGTGGAGTGCAATACAGTAACTATGATAAACCTTTCAGTCTCACACTCATTTTGGCAAATGTCCGAATTTCAGGTATTTCAATTTTATTTATTTATTTAAGACAGGGTCTTACTCTGTCACCCAGGCTGGAGTGCAATGGTGCAATCATAGCTCACTACAACCTTAAACTTCTGAGCTCAAGTGATCCTACTGCCTCAGCCTCCTGAGTAGCTGGCACTACAGACATATGCTAGCATGCCCAGCTAATTTTTGTAATTTTAGTGGGAATGGGATCTTGCCATGTTGCCCAGGCTGGTCTTGAACTCTTGAGCTCAAGTGATCCTCCCACTTTAGCCTCCCAAAGTGTTGGGATTACAGGCATGAGCCACTGCACCCAGCCACATCTGGCCTCAATTCCATTTTAAAAAAATATTCTTAAATATTAAAAGCTATATTTCTTTTTCATCATCCCTTCAAAAAAAATCAAGAGTTGGTATGTGATGGCACAGAGCCAACCTTTGTATTAGCCATTATTGTTATTTTTGTTAGCATGATAACTAGAACTATAGATTTTTTCCTATTCAGACTGACTTTTTCCTATTCTTTCTTTTTTTTAATTGTACTTTAGATTCTGGAGTACATGTGCAGATCATGCAAGACTGTTGCATATGTACATTCATGGCAAAGTGATTTGTTGCCACCATCCTTCCATCCCCTATACCTGACATTTCTCCCCACATGATCCCTCCCCGACCCTTCCTCCCACTATCCCTCCCATTGCCCACCCTGCAATGGATCCTACTGTATGATGCTCCCCTCTTTGTGTCCAAGTGTTCTCATTGTTCAACACTGGCCTATGAGTGAGAACATGTGGTGTTTGGTTTTCTGTTCTTGTGTCAGTTTGCTGAGAATGATGGTTTCCAGCTTCATCCATGTCCCTGCAAAGGACACAAACTCATCGTTTTTTATGGCTGCATAGTATTCCATAGTGTATATGTGCCACGTTTTCTTTGTCCAGTCTATCATTGAGGGGCATTTAGGTTGGTTCCAGGTCTTTGCTATTGTAATCAGTGCTGCAATGAACATACATGTGCATGTATCTTTATAATAGAACAATTTATAGACCTTTGGGTATATACCCGGTAATGGGATTGCTGGGTCAAATGGAATTTCTATTTCTAGATCCTTGAGGAATCACCACACTGTCTTCCACAATGGTTGAACTAATTTACACTCCGACCAACAGTGTAAAAATGTTCCTGTTTCTCCATATCCTCTCCAGCATCTGCTGTCTCCAGATTTTTTAATGATCACCATTCTAACTGGTGTGAGATGGTATCTCAATGTGGTTTTGATTTGCATTTCTCTAACGACCAGTGATGATGAGCATTTTTTCATATGTTTATTGGCTTCATATATGTCTTCTTTTGAAAAGTGTCTGTTCATATCTTTTGTCCACTTTTGAATGGGTTTGTTTTTTATCTTGTAAATCTGTTTTAGTTCTTTGTAGATTCTGGATATTGGCCCTTTATCAGATGGGTAGATTGCAAAATTTTTTTCCCATTCTGTTGGTTGCTGTTCACTTTAATGATTGTTTATTTTGCTGTACAGAAGCTCTGGAGTTTAATTAGATCCCATTTGTCTATTTTGGCTTTTGTTGCCAATGCTTTTGGTGTTTTAGTCATGAAGTCCTTGCCTACTCCTATGTCCTGAATGGTTTTGCCTAGGTTTTCTTCCAGGGTTTTTATGGTGTTAGGTTTTATGTTTAAGTCTTTAATACATCTGGAGTCAATTTTAGTATAAGGTGTCAGGAAGTGGTCCAGTTTCTGCTTTCTGCACACTGCTAGCCGGTTTTCCCAACACCATTTATTAAACAGAAAATCCTTTCCTCATTGCTTGTTTTTGTCAGGTTTGTCAAAGATCAGATGGTTGTAGATGTATGGTTTTGCTCCGGAGGCCTCTGTTCTGTTCCCTTGGTCTGTATCTCTGTTTTGATACCAGTACCATGCTGTTTTGATAGTATAACTTGTAGTTTACCTTGTAATATAACTGGAAGTCTGGCAGCGTGATGCTGCCAGCTTTGTTCTTTTTGCTTAGGATTGTCTTGGCTATGTGGGCTCCTTTTTGATTCTATGTGAAGTTTAAAGTGTTTTTTTCCAGTTCTGTGAAGAAGGTCATTTGTAGTTTGAAGGGGATAGCATTAAATCTATAAATTACTTGGGCAGTATGGCCATTTTCACAATATTGATTCTTCCTAACCATGAGCATGGAATGTGTTTTCCATCTGTTTGTTGTCTTCTCTTATTTCCCTGAACAGTGGTTGGTAGTTCTCCTTGAAGAGGTCCTTCACATCCTTTGTTAGTTGTATTCCTAGGTATTTTATTCTCTTTGTAGCAATTGTGAATAGGAGTTTGCTCTTGATTTGGCTCTCTGTTTGTCTGTTATTGGTATAT